CGTAAATTCCATCTAGGTGCGGTCTTGTATGACCGCGTAATTGTCAGTTAAAGTAATGCAGTGCTGAATAGCAAAAAATGGCCTGGTCAGGAAGGGGAGGGGGAAATCCTCTGGAGGATTAGTGGTTAAAATGTCAGGCTTCTGTGATGTAAAAAAAAAAATGAGACAAAGATAAATAATTTCAGAACTTTCTCCCACCTTTAATGTGACCTAATAACTGTACAGATCAGTTGAACAGCAAAATGAAATCTTTTAGGTGGAGGGAAGTAAAAATAAAAAACTAAAATAATCTGGTTGCATAAGTGTGCACACCCTTACACTGATCCTTTGTTGAAGCCCCTTTTGATGTGATTCCGGCACTCAGTCTTTTTGGGGAGGAGCCTATCAGCACGGCACATCCTGACTCGGCAATATTTGCCCGCTCTTCCTTACAGAAACACTCCAAATCTGTCAGATTGTGAGGACATCTCCTGCGCACAGCCCTCTTCAGATCACCCCACAGATTTTCCATCGGATTCAGGTCTGGGCTCTGGCTGGGCCATTCCAACACTTTCATCTTCTGGTGAAGCCATTCCTTTGTGGATTTGGATGTATGCTTTGGGTGGTTGTCATGCTGGAAGATGAAGTTCCTCTTTATGTTCAGCTTTCTAGCAGAAGCCGGAAGGTTTTGTGCCATATTGACTGGTATTTGGAACTGTTCATAATTCCCTCTACCTGGACTAAGGCCCCAGTTCCAACTGAAGAAAAACAGCCCCAAAGCATGATGCTGCCACCATCATGCTTCACAGTGGGTATGATGTTCTTTTGGTGATGTGCAGTGTTGTTTTTTGTGCCAAAAATATCTTTTGGAATTATGGCCAAAAAGTTCATCCTTGGTTTCATCCGACCAGAACTCATTTTCCCACATGCTTCTGGGAGACTTCAGATGTGTTTTTTGCAAACTTTAGCCGGGCTCGGATGTTTTTCTTTGTAAGAAAAGGCTTCCATCTTGCCACTCTACCCCATAGCCCAGATATATGAAGAACACGGGAGATTGTTGTCACATGAACCACACAGCCAGGACTTGCCAGATACAGTTAGGTCCATGTATATTTGGACCCAGGCACAATTGTAGTTTTTCTCAGGTATTTACCAAAACATATTCCAGCTCTAGTTCTATAATGGATATGGGCGGACAGTGCGCACTCTCAGGTGTAATTTGAGGGTATGTTTAGCCAAATTGGAGGAAGGGTTTAGGAATTACAGCTTTTAAGAGTAGCCATCCCCCCCCTTTTTCAAGGAACCAAAAGTAATTGGACAATTGAATCAAAAGCTGTTTCATGGCCAGGTGTGGGCTACTCCTTCGTTATTTCTTCATTTAAGCAGGTAAAAGGTCTGGAGTTCATTCGTGTGGTATTTGCATTTGGAAACTATTGCTGTGAATCTACATGATGCAAGATATTCCTGCAGCTCCTTTCATGTTGCTTACGGCCTCTTGGCAGCCTCCCAGACCAGTTTTATTCTCGTCTTTTCATCAAATTTGGACCAATGTCCAGTTCTTCGTGATGTCACTGCTGCGCCATATTTTCTTCACTTGATGACTTTCTTCACTGTGTTCCATGATATATCTAATGCCTTGGAAATTCTTTTGTACCTTTCTCCTGACTGATACCTTTTAACAATGAGATCCCTCTGATGCTTTGGAAGCTCTCTGCGGACCATGGCTTTTGCTGTAGGATGCAACTAAGAAAATGTCAGGAAAGACTGATTAGAACATCTGAACTTTATTTGGGGCTGATCAGAGGCACTTTAAATGATGGCGGGTGTGTACTGACTCCTATTTACCATGATTGTGAATGTGATTGCTTCATTCTGAACACAGCTACATCCCCAGTTATAAGAGGGTGTGCACACTTATGCAACCACATTATTTAAGTTTTTTTTATGTCCCCACCCCCAAAAGATTTCAGTTTGTTGTTGTGCAGTTTATAGGTCACATTAAAGGTGGAAAAAGTTCTGAAATTATTTTTATCTTTTTTTTACATCACAGAAACTTGCCATTTTAACAGGGGTGTGTAGACTTTTTATATCCACTGTGTGTGTGTATAATGTATAAAAAAAAAAATGTTTCTAGCAGAAGCCGTAGACAATAAAATAGTGAGTATTGTGACTGTGTGGAAGCCTCCTCACTGTCAGAAAACAATGACACAGCGGGAGGATTCCCCACCCACATCAAATTTGTGAATGGGGGAATCTGTTCAGTTGATTTTTTGTTTTTTTTTTCGTGCAATCTGCTGGTTGAATGAAAAAAAAAACGGACTAGTCTATGGACTGCCTTGGCACTCATGTAGAAGGATTTCAGCAAGACACCACAGTAATGAGGGTTAAAAAGCTTTGGTCACATTGACTTTAATTAACCCCAGCCTTCTGATGTTTTCCCAGCATTCCCTGCTCATGGAAGAGCTGAATCGCCACCATTCGGATTTCGAGCAGATTATTCAGGACAAGAACCGAGAACTGCAGGAAACAAAGGTGACGTGTGATGTACACAGACTTCTATTTCCTATAAACTCTCTTCCTGTTGGTTCATTGGGCAGACCTGGGATATGCAGGTAAAATATAGTAGGGGGGCTCAGTCACGGGGCTTATGGGTGCTGTACTGAAAATGTCACGGCACCCTTCCTCAGTATTCCTCTCAAGAGTCCTCTGTCCTGATGCAAGCTGTGGGCGGGCTCTCGGGAGGGGTTTACGCAAATATCAAAATGCCTTGATGGGTGGGTGTCAGTCTGGAGGAGTGGGCGTTCCTTGGCAGGCTGTATTTGCATGCAGAGCACCTTCTGTAATGCCCACATGTGTTGTTGAGCCTCTATGGTTGAAAGAAATAAAAAGGGAGGGGCCAGGGACATTCAGGCTGAGGAGAAAAGAGTTCGATGATACTGAATGTCCTCAAGCCAGGAAATGAGGTGGAGCTCTATCTGACCTGCAGCTTCTAGTGAGAAGCCCACAGTGTGCAGGGAAATCGGAGCAAACAACTTCACTGCAGGAGAAGAGTAGTGGTGCACCAAAATGAAAATTCTGTTGCCGAAAAAGAAAACTCAAAATGCACTTGGCCGAAAACCGAAATGCACAATTTTTAAAAATGAATATATATTTTTTGGGGAAAAATACACTTTGATTAAAAAAAATAATAATAAAAATAGTAATAAATAGTGGTGTGCCAAAATGAAAATTTTGGTGGCAAAACCGAAAATTCAAAATGCACTTGGCTGAAAACAGAAATGCACAGTTTTTAAAAATGAATATATATTTTTTTGGAAAAAATACACTTTTATTAAAAAAAAAATAATAAAAATAGTAATAGTGGTGGGCAGAAATTAAAATTCTGGTGCCAAAGACGAAAACCGAAATGCACAGTTTTTAAAAATGAATTATATATTTTTTGGGAAAAAATACACTTCGATTAAAAAAAATAATAATAAAAATAGTAATAAATAGTGGTGGGCAGAAATTAAAATTCTGGTGCCAAAACCAAAAATTCAAAATGCACTTGGCCGAAAACCGAAATGCACAGTTTTTAAAAATGAATATATATTTTTTGGGAAAAAAAATACACTTTGATTAAAAAAAATAATAATAAAAATAGTAATAAATAGTGGTGGGCAGAAATTAAAATTCTGGTGCCAAAACCGAAAAACCGAAATGCACAGTTTTTAAAAATGAATATATATTTTTTGGGAAAAAATACACTTTGATTAAAAAAAAAATAATAAAAATAGTAATAAATAGTGGTGGGCAGAAATGAAAATTCTGGTGCCAAAACCGAAAATTCAAAATGCACTTGGCCGAAAACCGAAATGCACAGTTTTTAAAAATAAATATATATTTTTTTGGAAAAAAACTACACTGATTAAAAAAAAAAAAAAAAAATTGTAGCCCTTTTTTTAAGTAAAATATGAAAGGGGATGTTGCGGCGAGTAAATAGATACCCAACGTGTCGCACTTTAAACCTGTGCACGCTCGTGGAATGGCGTGAAACAGCGGTACTTAAAAATCCCCATGGGTGATGCATTAAAAATGTCTACAGGTTAGCAGTGTGACATTATAGAGGAGGTCCAGTGTGAGAATTATTGCTCTTGCTCCGACGTTCGTGGCAATACCTCGCGTGTGTGATTTGAACACCATTTACATATGTGGGCGTGGCCTATGTATGTGTTTACCACTAACGGGGGGAACTTTAAACTTTTAAAAAAATATATATTTAATGTTTTTGTTTTGTTTTTTTATTTGCACTGTTCCTTTAAAAAAAATTGTAATCACTTTTATTGTTATCACAAGAAATGCATGCATCCCCTGTGATAGAAATAATTGGTGACAGGTCCTCTTTATATCTATATAAAATATGGTATCCACCTAAACATACAAATAAACAACTAACACCCTATACAGGGGTGGCCAAACTGCGGCTCTCCAGCTGCTGCAGGACTACAAGTTTCATCATGCCTCTGCAAGTCAGTAACTTCCCATCTTTGCAATGCCTCATGGGAAATGTAGTTCCACAACAGCTGGAGAGCCACAGGTTAGCCACCCCTGCCTATAGCATAAAAGTCTAACTTTCACCCTTGAAAGTGTAATAATTTATATAACCTCAATATGCTCAAACCCTACAAAAAAATCACCAATTGTGAAACAACCGTGAAAACATACAGTCTCCCAAAAAAATAAATAAAAAAATATAATAAAATGATGTCATCGTATCCAAAATTTAAAGTTATTCCCAATAATGATTCCAATAACAAAAATTAAGCACTCGTGTCCCAAATTTAAAGTCCTTCACAATAATGATTCGCTCATCTGGATTTTTCCTTATTGGAATCATTATTGTGAAGGTCCTCTTTATGGAGAGTTGGGGGGTCAATAAGACCCCACATCTCTCCTCTGCAATGTAAAAAAAAAAAAAAAGCATTGGATAAAAAAAAAAAAAAAAAAGCCAGAATGGGAAGTGACATCACTCCGGTCCTCCAAGGGCATAGAGATGTGTGGCGGCCATCTTTCCTTCACTCATCTCTATGCCCAGCGCCGGGATCGATGGTTTCTCAGGTAAGGCTGAACTACAGAGCGGCGGTGAGGTGTGGGGTTTTTTCGGCAATAAAAAATATAATAAAATTATGCCATCGTGTCCAAAATTTAAAGTCCTTCACGATAATGATTCGCTCATCAGGATTTTTCCTTATTGGAATCATTATTGTGAAGGTCCTCTTTATGGAGAGTTGGTTGGGGGTCAATAAGACCCCACATCTCTCCTCTGCAATGTAAAGCATTGGATAAAAAAAAAGCATTAATCTAGTGCTTTAAAAAAAAAAAAAAAAAAATAGCCAGAATGGGAAGTGACATCACTCCGGTCCTCCAAGGGCATAGAGATGTGTGGAGGCCATCTTTCCTTCACTCATCTCTATGCTCAGCGCCGGGATCGAAGGCTGAACTACTGAGGGGTGGGGTTTTTTCGGCACCTGTATCGGTACTTTTTTTTTTTTTTTTTTCATTTCGGCCGACGGCCGAAAGGGATGTTTTTGGCCGAAACGTTTCGGCCCTCCAAAATTTCGGTGCATCCCTAGAGAAGAGGGTGGTGTTCAGATGCCAAGCGATAGGAGAGCAGAAAGAGGTAGAACTATGCTGTAATATGACATAGGAAGGGCTCCAGCTTTTCATGTATTGAGGTGTTCAGCGGGGAGAGGATCCTGGGATCGGAGCTCGATTTGTAACCACATCACTGGCTGTGTCTTACAGAAGGAAAAGGAGAAGGTGGAGGCACAGAAGGAGGAAGTCCTCAATCATATGAATGACGTCCTGGACAACGAACTGCAATGCATCATCTGTTCTGAGAATTTCATAGAGGTGAGTGAGCCTGTCCCAGGGTATAGAGCAGTGATTCTTAACCTTTTTTTCAGTCAAGGCACCCTTTTTAAAATGATGGACTCTTGGGGTACCCTGTTCTAAAATGTGGTGCCTCAAGACTGTCCATAACTTTAAAAGGGCACCCCATTCTAAAATGTGAAAAACCATTCTAATAGCAACATCCACACATGTAGGACACCCGACATTAGAGGTGATTTATTCTTCTAAAGCAAATACACTTTTGAACACTGGCACTGACTAGTATTCCAATGTTTCTCCTCTACCTCAGTTTTTCTCCATCACTCATCTAATGTGACCCCATCACTGATGGAGAGGGGCGGGGGAGGGTCAAACTAGGATGCTGTGCAGGCAACCAACATCCTCCTTCTCAATGGATGATGTCACTGGTTGTCAGGACACTGGCGGCTAGAAGGTCGTTATGGTGCACAATAAAAAAACCTGTGACTTGTGTAACTAAAAGCTTGTTCCACAAGTTTTGGGCAATTCTTAGACATTTTGCCATTCACCCCTGAAGAAACCTCAAGGCACCCCAAGGCTGGTATAGAGTATTGGCCTATAGTCTGTGGACACCTGACCATCACACCTATATGGTGACGTTGGGATGTCCCATGCCACAACCATGGCCATTGATATGGAGCTGCCCCTTCTCCTTTTTTGGTAATACCATCCTCCACTCTTCTGAGAAGGCTTTCCACAAGATTTTGGAGGGTGTCTGGGAATTTGTGCCCATTTGGGAGGTCAGATATTGAAGCTGGATGAGAAAACGTGGCTCACACATTCTCACTACATTGGGCACCAAAGAAGACCTGGCTTACCACAGGCATTCCGATTCGTCACAAAGGTGTCCAGTAGGGTTGAGGTCCAGGCTCCGAGTTCCTCCACACCAAACTGGTCAACACATGTCTTTATGGAGCTGGCTTTGTACACAGGGGACAGTCATGCTGGAACAGAAGAGGGCCTTCCCAGACTGTAGTTAAAATATTAGTAGTTTTTTTTTTTTTTTTTTTTTTGTTTTTTTATTAACCCATTTCCATCCCGGGCACTTTTACCCCCCCTCCCAGGCCATTTTTTCAGGTTTCAGCGCTCTCACACTTTGAATGACAATTGCGCGGTCATACAACATTGTACCCAAACTAAATTTTATCATTTTCTTCACACAACTAGAGCTTTCTTTTGGTGGTATTTAATCACTGCCGGGGTTTTTATTTTTTGCTAAACTAACAAAAAAAGACTGAAAATTTTGAAAAAAAAAAAACCCATGTTTTTCTTTGTTTCTGTTATAAAAGTTTGCAAATAAATAATTGTTCTTCATAAATTTAGGCCGAGATGTATTCTGCTACATGTCTCTGGTGAAAATAACCCAAATTTAGGATGTATTTTTTAGTTTGTAGGAAAGTTATAGAGTTCACAAACTATGGGATATATCTGAAAATTGATCAATCCTGAAGTACTGACATCAGATCTAATTTCTTGAGGTCCAAGAATGTCAGAACAGTACTATTCTGACTCAGATTGTTGTGATAGCGATTTATCCCTTGTGAGACCTCTCTGCCTAGCCTGTATAAGCAGATATAATCACTGTGGGCAATCCTTGTCAGATAGCTGAACTCACCAATACTGTGTTCATCCAGAAGTTGCTTTATTCTGTACATGTGAAACAGGATACAGCAGAATGAATGGTTTTCAGTATTATGCGGTCAAAAGATGATAATTTCTGTAGCGTACTATGCAGAATACATGTGTCCCTGTTACATGTGGTCTGTTTGCTGCATCCATGACACAGGAAGTGCTGAACTCAAGAAGAAGGGAGGAGCTTCATATACAAAGGAACTGTGTCATAGATCTCAGGGAGGTAATATGAAAAACAAAGTGTATACCAAATAAGACCACTGGATGGCAGCATTACTAACTATAGAAATGTCCATAGAAAATGGTACAAAAAAATAAACTATATGAACTCTCATGTACATTAACATGAATATTAACTGTGTAACAGCATACTCCCCGTCTGGCATTGTAAATGTCACTATTTAAACCATAACGGTAGTTATACAATTGCAAATAAACAACAGTGCAATTTGCTTGATGTCTTGAAGACCTGAAAGACATAAAAAAGAGAACATGCATATAGTGCAACAATTATAACGTAAGGCTTCAAGTTGTATCAAATAAAGTTCAAGACACTTCCTTCTTGAAGTCACAGGTTGGATCCAGCAGCATACGCAAGCAAGTTCGTTCTCCAAAGGGCAAGAGCAGAACAAGTTCCGTGATAGGTCTGCTGAAAGTCTTTACAGTCCCTTGTCTTGCAACTTTCACCTCCACTTTGCGTACCTTGCCGTCATCACTAGGAATGCTCTTTACAATGAGTCCCATAGGCCACTCGATTCTTTCAGCTTGCTGGTCCTTCAGCAGAACGAGATCTCCAACTTTGCTGTCTGTGTAGAATTTGGTGTCATCTATCTGAGTGTCCAACTCGCGCAGTATGAAATCAGCAATTTCTACAGCTAGCATAGTTCCACAAAGTTCAAGCCTAGGAATTGTGTGTGCTCAGGCTTAGGTGCTAACTTAGCTTTCCCAAACAGAAACCCTATGTGGGTTTGATTAGAGTCTATTACCTTGAGGTAGGCAACAGCTGCTATGGCCTCAGTAGATGCATCTGAGAAGATGTGAAGCTCTTTCCTCTGACTTGTAGCAAGGGAAGCTGAGGTGTAACAGCGTGGTATACTGATTCCATCTAAGGCATGTAGAGATTGTTTCCAGGACTCCCACTTTGGAAGCTTGTCTGTAGGCAGCGGAGCATCCCAATCTTTAATAGACTCTGAGAACTGTCTAAGTAAGGCTTTACCTTGTATGGTGATGGGAGCCACAAATCCCAATGGATCGTATAAACTGTTCACCACTGACAGAACACCACGCTTGGTAAATGGTTTGTCTGCAGAGCCGACTTGAAAGCCGAAGGTATCTTTTAATAAGTCCCACCGTAGGCCCAGACTTCTCTGTACAGGTGGCATGTCCATTCCAAGATTTAAATCTTTAAACCCAGTGGCATGATCACCAGGTTGAAAGGCTTTCATAACAGCAACACTATTCGAGGCAATCTTGTGTAGTCTGAGGTTAGCCTCGGAAAGCATACCTTGTGTCCTTTGGAGCAGGTCTATGGCTTCTTCGTCTGTAGGTAAAGACTTAAGTCCGTCGTCAACATAAAAGTCTCTCTCAACGAAGTGTCGAGCATCCGCACCATACTCCTTTTCTCCATCAAGGGCAGTCCTTCGTAAACCATATGTTGCAACAGCGGGTGAGGGACTATTTCCAAAAACATGTACCTTCATGCGGTATTCAATTATCTCATTGTCCATGTTGTTGTTACGGTGCCACAGAAACCTTAGGAGGTTCCTATGGTCTTCACGTACAATGAAGCAATGAAACATTTGCTCAATATCAGCAGTTATGGCAACTGGTTCTCTTCTAAATCTCATAAGTATACCTACAAGGTTGTTGGTTAGATTCGGGCCAGTGAGAAGAACATCGTTCAGGGATACGCCTTGATGTTTGGCACTGGAGTCAAATACTACCCTGATTTGTTTTGGCTTACGTGGATGATACACTCCAAAGAAAGGCAGGTACCAGCACTCATCATGTCTTTGAAGTGGTGGCGCTGGTTCGGCGTGATCATTGTCAAAGATCCTTTTCATAAAAGCGATGAAATGTTCCTTCATTTCAGGCCTGTTCTTTAGTGTTCGTTGAAGTGAGTTGAATCTGGATAGAGCCTGTTCACGATTGTTTGGGAGTGTGGCCCTTGCAGCACGAAGAGGTAATGGTGCGATCCAGCTGTTAGACTCATCCTGGAAGAATTCTTCGTCCATTATTTTGATGAACTCTCTATCTTCGACCGACAAGGCTATTTTGTTGTCATCACTTGTAGTACAAAACACTGTGGTACCTAGGTTGTCTTCACAAAGAACAGGAGTAACATCAGGTACTTGGATGATGTCAAGAGGCTTCTCCTTTACTTCATAATGGTGAGGGTACTGTTTGAAGTGGGATGCACGTCCATTTCCCACACATGTAAGTTTTGAAGGAGTGGATCTCAGATAACGATCTGTCCAGGCATACATCGCCCACTATTACCCAGCCTAGGTCAAGTCTTTGTGCATAAGGGGCATTGTTAGGTTCATCGCATTGGTCGCGTACTTTATGTACTCTGAGAATGTCTCTTCCTAGCAGGATCAAGATTTCAGCACTCTTGTCCATCGCAGGAATCTCATCAGCAAGGTGCCTTAAGTGAGGATGATGATATGCAGCTTCTGGAGTAGGAATCTCTTCTCTTTCGTCTGGTATCTGATCACACTCAACTAATGTTGGGAGGGGTATGCCTTCTCCATCCTTGATATGAGAGACCATGAATCCATCGACCCTTCTGCCAAAGGTCTCTACACGACCAGAACAGGTTCTGAGAGTATACGGTGTGGCGTGACCTTCTAAGCCAAAGATCTCAAAGAATTTAGGCTTAACCAGGGATCTGTTGCTCTGTTCATCTATTATGGCATACATCCTAGCAGCTTCCTCAGGATGATCCTTGGGGTATATCTTGACTAGGCATATCTTGGCACAGCATTTGTGATCCAGTCCCTCTCCACAGACTTCTGTGCATGAAGAAGAAACATTACTTTTGGCTAGAGCATGACTTTGTTGCTCCCCGCCATAATTTGGGACAGGGGTTGAGGTAGGTAGCTGCTGCGGGTTGTCTGGAAGTGGAGTAGGATGCATGGCTGTAACATGTCTGTCGCTACCGCATTCTGTGCACTTGATGACAACCTTACAGTCTTTAGCAAAGTGGTTATAAGAAGCACAGCACTTGTAGCATATTCCAAGTTTCTGGAGAAATCTCCCTGCGCTCTTGTAAAGGCTTTGCCCTAAGCCCACGACATTTCTTAAGAGGGTGAGGCTTCTTGTGAATAGGACACTGACGATTAGGGTCTTTATCTCTAGCATCCACAATGCCTTGGTCAGTAGGCAAGGTTGTGGAGGGTGAGATGTCTGTTCTTTTAACAGATATTGCTCTAGTATAGTCTCTATGTTTAGCTGCTGTGTTATCATACCTTGATGATGATGATGAGGATGAGGCAGGCAAGTTTGGTTCACTGAAGCTGAAGCTGGGATCGTTTCTCGTCCAGGCTTGATCACTAATGAACCTGCAAAAGTATGAGAATGGAGGAAAGGATACGTTATAGTCTCTTTTGTACCTTGAGCCCTGTTGTGCCCATTTCTCTTGCAGGCTGTATGGCAGTTTAGACACCACTAGGTTGACACCATGAGCGGTGTCCAGGAAGCTTAGTCCAGATAGACGTGGGTCTGTCTTTGCCAAACTCTAGCTCCATGAGGAGGTCACTTAGATCTTGGAGCCTGCGATAGTCTTTGTTTCCTATTTTTGGGAAGTTTTGCAGTCTCTTGAATAGAGCGCTCTCTATGGCTTCAGAGCTACCATAGGCTTGCTCAAGTCTTGCCCATGCAGCAACAAGACCTGCGTCTGGGTGGTCAACATGTACTGTTCTCAGTCTTTTAACACGATCTGCAGATTCTGGTCCCAGCCACTTTATGAGCAAATCAAGTTCTTCCTTAGTAGTAAGGTTGAGATCAGCAATAGCAGCCTTGAAGGTTGATCTCCAGGCCCTGTAGCTCTCTGGACAGTCGTCAAACCTTGAGAGGCTGGTGTTAATGAGCTCACGGCGAATCATATATCTGGCCAAAGTCATTTCAAGTCCTGCAATAACTCTCACTCTTTGGTGCCAAAGTAACTTTATGAACCCCTTGGGTGTGAAAAAGTTCTCTGGTGATGTAGGGTGAGATTTACCAGGGTAAAATGATGTTGCACACTTCAGCTTTTACTGTTGGTGTAGTCTCTAACCAAGCATCCACACCCACCTCAACTGCCTGTGGCTTGATGCTGCGACTTGTCACAACGTGGAAGTCACCTCCTCTGTTGTCTCCAGGAGTTTGATGTGGTTTGCTGCATAGATGTACTTGTGATTTGTAGATACCCATGAAGAGGCTTAGGCATATGGACCTGAGAGGTCTCTTGTGTTTGAGAGTCAGAACAGTGTTGTTAGTAGTAGGAGATTACAGGAGATGACTCTGTATTTCATTCGCAAAATGTTATGCTCACTTAATACTGTATTCACTGGTTGCGTATCACACTGGATCTTCCAGTTCTGACTGGATAAGGCCCCCACCCTCCCCTAAAACCCACCCTTCCACCCATGAGTTAGTACTTTGTCCCATTGCTTGTATCAAGGACTTTCACAGCCTTGCAACAATGGGAAGCCTGCTTCCAAACCCTTACACATCTGCAGATCTACTTTATTTGGGAATCTGCAATCTCATGCTTGCTGAGCTTTGCTACACCCGCTTCCATCTCTGCTTGTTGAGCTATCAACTTGCGTGCTTCTACCTCTGCTATCCTTTCTCTGGTAAAAAAGCTTTGCGCCTTTTTTGATTCAGCATCAGCGCGGGCCTTCTATTCCCCACGCACAACTGTCAATGCTTAACGTCGAAACTTCCACCCGAGCGACCCGAACAATCTAGAAGAAAGTTACCCAGTTGCACGCAACACTGGTTGACCAATCCCCATCATCTCCCATATTACACACCCAAGATCTGGTCCCCCTGCAGATGCCACTATAAATCCGGAGTTCTGCTTTAAAAACACCAGCATTTTGCACTGCAAGATCCCTTTGTTGGTTTTAGTGCATCAGATCCTGGTCACTGTTCTGCTGAAGAATCCTCATCACTATATTAGAAGATCCTGCAGAGAAAGCTCTTAGACACATTTTCATACAGGACACCCCATAATATAAACGGACCACGTTACTATATGCAGCAGATAGGCCGATTTATATAGAGTCTCTTACATTCAGCTGGTTGATTCATTAAAGTCCATGTGACAAAACTGAACATGCATTGTGAAGTTCGGTCCCAAACCCCCCCAAAAAAACCCACCAAACCTCCCCCCAATAAAAAAGAAAGAAAAAAAAAAAAAAAAAAGAAAAAAAACAAAAAGAAAAAGAAAAAAAAGAAAAAAGAACTCCCCATTCTAAAAATAAAACAAAAAAAAAAAGTGGCCCCGACAAACACCCACCCTCCCCCTCCCCCGCCTCCCCCCCCCACCCCACAACCCCCCAAGACTTGACCCCCCAAGCCCCCCCCCCCCCACAACCGCAACTAGCCGATCCCTCCCACCCAACAAGTAATGATAATCAAAACCACCCCCCCATCCCCTACCCCTCCCCAACTACCCCCATCCCCCCATCACCTTAAACCCCCCCTGTAACCCCCCCCACCCATCAGTCGCCCCGACCTGGGAAACAATCCACCCACCATCCCCCTTTTACACCCCTCACACCCACCAAATCCCCCCCACAAACCACCCCCCAGACCCCTAAAACCCAATGTACCCCATTGGGGAGTGGTTGGTCAACAAAGAAAAACATGTACCTCAAAATGTTAATAAACCCCCCCACCGCCCACTGACTCCTCCACAACAAAATACCCAGTCCTCCCTCAACTACCCTCACCCGCCCTAAAGGAGTGTCTCAGCCTCTCAAATCCACCGCCACGGGGGGATACCTCCATTTTCCCCCACTCCCATCGCCAACTCCACCAAAAATCCCAACAAACCCCCATTACCCCTCTTTAAAAAGACGAACAGCAGCTTTCACAAAAATCCCCAACACAGTCAAAGCAGATAAACCGAAAACCGTTATACAACCAAGAACATTCACATGAATAGCACAGTAACCAGCCCTTGTGCGACCATGTGCTTTGCAAGAACACAACCAACAAATTTCACAAGAGCCAAAGACCAACAATCCACCCCAAGTAACAGCCTGGCAACACATACTACCAGCAGGCAGGAGGGATTCTATGCATCTTTTGCGACCAACCCTTCACAACAGCATTGTTGTGATACCACGATTTTCCCCTTGTGGAGACCTCTCTGCCTAGCCTGTATAAATTGCAGATATTAATCACTGTGGGCCAATCCATGTCAAACCCAGCTGAACTCACACCAAATAACAGGACTATATCACCAACATCCAGAAACAGTCCCTGCATTACCTATTCTGTACATGGGGAAACAGGATACACTCAAGTGAATGGTTTTCCTCGTCCAGCCCGTAACAACACCAAGCTCAAAAAAATGATAATTAACTGTACGTACACTATGCAGAATTACATTTGTCCCTGTGTACCCCATGTGGGTTCTGTTTGCTGCATCCCCCTGACACAGGAAAGTGGCTTGAACCTCAAGACAAAAGGAGGAGCTTCATAACACAAACAGGAACTGTGTCACACATAAAACCATCTCAGGGAGGTAATATGAAAAACAAACCAGTGTAAGAACAAATAAGACACCTGGATGGCAGCATTACTAACTACCGCTTTCCAAAGTGTCCATAACAAAGAAAGAATGGTACAAAAAAAAACATCAAACTATATGAACTACTATTCCCCCACACATTTAATGACAACCGATTAAAAATGTAACAGCATAAGTGGCAAAATATCCCCCCAAAAATGTCAGGAACAGTACATTATATCCCCCAAAAATGTCACCCGACAGATACAGATATCCCACCAAATGTCAGGACGGTAAAGATATCCCCCCAAATGTTCAGGACGGTACAGATATCCCCCAAACCAAATGTCAGGATGGTACAGATATCCCCCCAAATGTCAGGACGGTACAAGATATTCCCCAAAAACTACCCTCAGGACAGTACAGATATCCCCCAAATGTCAGGACGGTACACCATATCCCCCAACTGAACACCCTTTTTGCAAAGTAGACACATTTCCAACGTTACTTGAATACACAGAGCCCCCCCATTTTCCACTTTCTTTTTGACAGTTTGTATTTTTTTGTCATAAAATTTTGGGAAACTGAAAAAATTTCAAATAAATTATTTTTCACAATTTTTTTTTTTTACATTACACAAACCCCCTGCGTGCAGTATAACAGCATCATCATATTAAACTGGCAATGGCGGTGATCAGGGACACTGACTGGTGACAGTATGACACAACTACAATTTACCCAAATTTAAATTTTTTTTTTTAACCATTATTTTAAATTTTTATTACATTTTTTTTTTTCATATTTCACTTTGCCACCAAAGTAGTACAATGTTACCATAGTTGTCTCGGTCAGCTTCTAGCGAGAGTGATCTTGAGTTGTCTCGGTCAGCTGTGTCGTTTACTGGTTTTGTTTCCACCATGTTGTGTACCTGTGGGACTTCAACTGAGGAAAACTTTTAAAATTTAGATTGCTCAGGAGGGATGGATGGTGAAACATGACTGCTGGGGGTTACTGTGCACTTTGACACATCCTCCTGTTAGTTATATGTTACACTTGTTTTTTTTTGTAACATCAGGCTGTCACCCTCAACTGTGCGCACCCCCAGCTTCTGTTTCTTCTGCATCCAGTCATGGCGGGAAGCGGAAAGGACGAGTGCCCCATCTGCCGGCAGGAGATAAAGTCTCAGACTCGATCCCTCGTCCTGGACAACTGCATCAACCCGAATGGTGGACAAACTGAGCCAAGAGATGAAGGACAGAAGGATGGCTCTGATCTTAGAGCGCAAAGGTGAGAGGTGGTGTGGACCACAGTGCATGATAACCGTCCCGACCTACTAGATTAGCCCCAGAGCCAGAGCTGCTGCAGGTGACCCCCCGCAGCCAGAGCTGCTGCAGGTGACCCCCCCGCAGCCAGAGCTGCTGCAGGTGACCCCCGCAGCCAGAGCTGCTGCAGGTGACCCCCGCAGCCAGAGCTGCTGCAGGTGACCCCCGCAGCCAGAGCTGCTGCAGGTGACCCCCGCAGCCAGAGCTGCTGCAGGTGACCCCCGCAGCCAGAGCTGCTGCAGGTGACCCCCGCAGCCAGAGCTGCATACGGGTGACCCCCGCAGCCGTAGCTGCTGCAGGTGACCCCCCCACAGCCGTAGCTGCTACAGGCGACCGCCACAGCCGGAGCTGCTTACAGGCCACAGGAGCCGAAGCTGCTTATAGGTGACCCTCGCAGCCAGTGCTGCTACAGGCGTCAACATCCCCCCCCCCCCCTCCAGGAGCTGCTATACAGATGACCCCTCCTCTCCATGGAGCTACTACAGGCGACCACACACACACACACACCAGAGCTGCTGCAGGCGACACACACACACGCTACAGGCGACTTCCACACACCCTGAGCTGTCTGTATAAGTCTAGAATGTACTAACTCACAAACCCGTGACCACATCACCCCCTGCGGACCCTGGGTGCCACCCAGCAATGCTTGGCTGGGGCTTGTCCTGTGCCCTCCACACACCACACTCCAGATGCCAGCTCCAAAAAGGAGGACGGTGGAACTCCAGTAAGATTCCCAAAGTGCTGGTAACTTTATTATCTGAACCTCCGTGCCAATGGACAAGATCTCTGCACCTGTCAATTACCTCCTCAGCCCCAGCCCTCTGAGTAGAATTCCCCGCCGTTTTCCTTCTTCAAGCCGAACCGTTTCTTTAGTCAGAAAATTAAAGTCCTGAGCCCTCTAGACATCTGTTCAGGCCGCCCTTTTGCTGGTATAGCCGATGTCAATATCATCGCACCAATAAAAAATGAGATGTCTTTACTTGTTTAAATTCCCGTTAATGCACTGTCCCTGCTCTCTGCACGATGCTCAGTTTCTCTCTATTTTACTGCACTGTGTCGAAAACTGTAGAGGCGAAGAGGAATCATCTTGCTGACAGCATAAAGATTTACTGCTGCTCAGAGATTCTTCGACTTTAGCAAAATGGCCGCCTGTAGCAGACTCCCCAGAAACAGGATAGTATTTTTGCAATACTGGAGGGCCAATTTTTCGGCACACACAAATTTTTGTACCATAACGGTATTAAATTAATGTGGAACCATGCTCTGTGCTAATATAACAAGGTTGTTTATGGGTAATGTTCTGCTTTAAGCGACCCCCCCCCCTGGAAATAGATAGTGCAAATTTTTGTTTTTTGTCCCGTTTTGTTTAGCTAGGATTTTGGTGATTTGTGGGGAAATAGAAAAAACAGACTACCCCACCCCCACGCCACTGCCCCACACAAGCGAGGTGGGATGGGAGGATTCCCCCTCCCCGCTGGGACATTGTTTCTGACAGCGGGACCCTCTGTCAACTTGTGCTTTTGATCAGATCCAACTATTATTTGCATGGTTCAAATTCTGTTGAATAGGGAATGCCACACACGGAGTCCAACCAATTTTTGAACGGTCTCAGTAAAGTACTGAGTCCATACAGCTCTTTCTGGGCACACAAGACCTTTTACTGTGCAGTGCTCTGCAAGTAATCGAGGGGGTACTAGCTGTGGGCATTAAGACACATGGGGGGGGCTATTGTTGGCCCGGTTTTGCTTGCTAGTGGGACGCGGGCGGTGGATTGGTCAGTGCTGAATTGAAATAAAGTGTTCAGGGTGGGATGTACAAGACACATCTATCTAATTAAAAGAAAAGTTTTCTGTAGCCGCCCAAATGAAGGAGGATCAGCTCTCAATGTTTCGTGAGTCGACTCGAGAGCCTCTAGAGACCCACCCCTCGCGTCCAAAATCTTTCCACAAGAAAACAGGAGAACGAAACGAAAAGTAAGAAACCGAAAAAAAACAGTAAGATAAGAATGGTAAAGAGATTTCACCTCAATCCGAATTAGACCCTCCCCCCCGAAACACTCTCACGGCCCTCCGCAAACGATCACAGAGTAAGCGGAAACCCCCAGTCAAATCCACCCCCACCCGCTACCCCCCCTCCCCCCAATCAGAGGTACCACCTCACCCCCGCAGTCTCTCAACCTCCCTCTCCCACTCTCTCTATCTCCCTCCTCTCCCCCCCCTTTCTCTCCTGCTGTCTGACCCATCCTCACTAGCCCTTCTCTCCCTGCCCCATCCCCCTCTCTCTCCCCACTAACTGCCCTCTCTATCCCTGCTCTCCCTCCTCTCATCTCCCTCTCCCCTAAATTATGTCCCAATTCAACAATCTCTCGCCCCTCCCTTCCCCCCACTCTCGAACCCTCTCTCTATCCCTCCTCCCCCCTCTCTCTCCCCCTCTCCCCCTCTCTCTCTCCCTCCCTCTCATCCTCCCTCCTCTCTATCTCCCTCACTCCCCCCTCTCTCCCATGAATCACTCTTCCTCTTCCCCTCTCACCTCTCCTCTCTCCTCCCTCCTCTCCCTCCTCCCCATCCACCTCTCCCCCCTCCCTCTCCCCCCTCTCTCTCTCTCTCTCCCCCCCCTCCCCTCTCTCTCCTCTCTCCTCCTATTCCTCTCTCTCTCTCTCTCAAGATTTTTTTTTTTTTACACTGATTGCTTTTACGCCCATAAAGGCTGTAAAAGCAATCACTTCTCCCTCTCTCTGGCTGCATTCTTGCAGCCATTGAGAAAGTACTGTGAGAGCTGTGATTGGTCACAGCTTGTCACATGGTACAAAGCTGTTGTGAATAGCCCTGTACCATGTGATCTCTGTGATCATTCACAGATTTCAAACGTAGTAAGCGTAGAAGTGACATCTTGCTTACTACTATTCATGTGATCACTGATTGGCCAATCGGTGATCACATGATTGGGACCTCACACCGAGGTCCCGTACAGCGATCGGTGGCACCGGACACAGCGGGCACCGGATCGCGGTGACGCACGCTCCCAGGGAGCTTGCACAATCCAAAATGGCGGGTGCCGTTTTTGAACGGCAACCTGCCCCTGGACTGCCACCGTCCGGCCGTTATATACAGCGGCCCGAACGGGAAGGAAGTAATTAAAGCACTGTGTATCTTTTTTTTTTTTTTGTTTTTGTTTTTTCATCCTTTCGTTTGATTGTTTGTGGCCTCTCTTGCAGCCACTTCTCATCTACATGCACTCCAGCGAAATTTCTCAGGACGGGTTTGCTGATGGCAACAACACGGGCCATACCTGTGTAATGTGTGTTGAAATGGTTGCTTGTAGTCTCCATCGGAAGCCTGGGTGACAACACAACAGCACAATTAGGAGATGGGTAAAATGTTGCCACCTTCCAACAGGATGTGCCTGAACAGGCATCTTCATGGCATGATTACCTGGATTGCTAACCTCCCTAGCGGTCTGATTATGTCAGTATTTCTGTGCTCAAAGTGGTACATTTTTTTGCATGGAAATATGTCGTCTTTTTTATTGTAGGCCTGTAACTTTTAGGAATAACTCACTGAAATCTGTCCGATAAAGAGTCTAATAAACATCCCGGGTAGGATAAAATTTTAAACACAAAATCATAAATTATAATATAATCATAAAAAATAATATAATAATAAATTTAATTCAATAATATCATCAAACCAAAAACAATGAAATGTGAAATATAGCGCCAAGTTCGCACATCGCTGAGCAAAGTCGCAGAATCGTTTTCAGTGTCTGATGAGGAATTTCCCCCACGAATCATTATCACTCAATTCTGCAAGTGGTTCTGATGTACTATCGCTGTTCTCTAGCCGGTCTAAAACCGCGTCTGACCTAAAGGGACGCTTTTTGGACGCCATGGACGTTTCTCAGTTTCCAGGCAGAAAGAACAGTAAAAATGCAGGGCAGGGCGCCGGACAAAGCACTCGGGACAAAATGTATGTGAAATGGTTTGATACAGGAATGTTATACTATGTGATTTTAGTGTATTTAGTGAATGTCACTTTAAAAAATTTTTAATTTCCTGCCGGTTCTGTCCCCCGTACGTCCCGACGTCGCAGGGAAACGGAACCCGGGAAGACAGATGCCGGCATCGGCCGGAGGGACATTGCCGGGGACACTGCAGGGGGGACATCGCGGTGAGCGCAGGACAAGGTAAGTGAAGAAGAGATCCCGGAGCAACGCTGCAGTGTATTCCTGAGTGTAGCTCGGGGGGGGGGTTACCGCTTGTGGTGCTGAAACTTTACCCCGAGCTACACTCGGGAATACCGCCAGGGGGGTTAAAAAAAAAAAAAAAATGAAAATGACTATTGAAAATGCCCCTCTGATGAAGTTTGTCTTCTCTGCTTGGCAGATCTGGTACAGTCAGCAGCTCCAATCCCCACACCCACAGAAAGTGACAGCAGCTCCTCCGATCTCTCCTTTATCTCCATCCTTGACAGCAGCGATGACGGCGATCTGGAGGAAAGTGACGACTTCGGGGATACCTCACTTGACAGCGAGCTGAGTCTGGACTCCGGAGACAGACTATGAAGACCTGTACTTCCACCAGTGAATTGTGCCGGTGGACCCTCGAGGCCGGCCTCCCGCGGGGGGAGGAGCTCAGACTTACACAATAGACAATGATTACCGATCACATGACTTTGTATATAGTGAACGCAGGTGATGGAGATCATCTTTGTGTTTGTTTTTTTTTTGTGTTTTTTTTTTTTTTTGGACCAATTCTATTTATTTGCTTTGTACAGTGTACAGCCGAGGACTCCACACATGCACACATGGTCATCGCCGTTTTGGGAACAATACTTTTTGTTTGTTTTGTTGTTAGAAACAATTTATAATATTACATGTGGGGTGTTGTGTACATTAAAGTGTATGTTGCCCCATAAATGTGATCTCACTTTGGTATCTGGTTTACTTTCAAGGTAAATCTAGGCTGAAGCTGTGTCTGCATCGATTTCCTCTGCATTACGAGGTGCGACAGTTTCATTCCCGGAATGCTCACAATGTACAGTAAGGGAATAAAAATATGTGAAACCTGGTTTTACTTTCAAGGTAAATCATAGGTGAAAAAGTGTGTGAAATACCCTAGCTTAATGACTTCTCTTGGAGCCAGGAGTGAGGCCAACCTTGACTCCAAATCGATTTTTCAAAGAAGCACAGTCTTATGTGGAACACATGCCTCGCATAAAAGAGGCTCTCAGAAGACCCTTGGGATTACGTGGAGTTTTGCATTTTTGGTTGTTAATGCTCAACAACACAAGGTGGAGAAAAAAAGGCACAGCACACCAACATGAATGTCATTGAGTTAAAAAAAAAAAAAAAAAAAAAAAAAAAAAGTCAAAAAAAAGTATGTGAACCAGTCTCTATTATGTGAACCCTTATTACGTGGAGTTTTGCATGAATTGGGCCATATAAATGTGCTCTGAATGTCATCTAAGTCACAACATAGAAGAAACACAGTCTGCTGAACATAATACTAAACAAACATTAGATGTTTGCCATGGTTTAATTGCACATAACATGTAAACATTCACAGTGCAGGGAGGAAAAAGTATGTGAGACCCTAGCTTAATGACTTCTCCCAGAGTTAATTGGAGCCAGGAGTGAGCCAACCTTGACTCCAATCAGTGTGATGATATTGGATGTGTTGCTGACAGCTGTTTTGGGTTTACTGGTTTCAAGAAGCACTGTCTGATGTGAACCATGCCTCGCAGAAAAGAGCTCTCAGAAGACCTATGATCAAGAATTGTTGACTTGCATGAAGCTGGAAAGGGTTACAAAAGTATCTCCAAAAGCCTTGATGTTCATGTGTCCACGGTAAAGACAGACTGTCTATAAATGGAGAAAGTTTAGCACTGTTGCTACTCTCCCTAGGCGTGGTCGTCCTGTAAAAATGACTGCAAGAGCACAGCGCAGAATGCTGCATGAGGTAAAGAAGAATCCCAGAGTGTCAGCTAAAGACTACAGAAATCTCTGGCACATGCTAAATTTTTGTTGACACATCTACAATAAGGAAAACATTAAACAAGAATGGAGTACATGGGAGGACACCACGGAGGAAGCCATTGCTGTCCAAAAAGAAGATTGCAGCACGTTTGAAGTTTGCAAAAGAGCACCTGGATGTTCCACAGCACTACTGGCCAGAATATACTGTGGACAGATGAAACCAAGATTGAGTTTTTGGGAAGAAACACACAACACTATGTGTGGAGAAAAAAAGGCACAGCACACCAACATCAAAACCTCATCCCCACTGTGAAACATGGCGGAGGGAGCATCATGGTTTGGGGCTGCTTTGCTGCCACAGGGCCTAGATGGATTGTTGTCATTGATGGGAAAATGAATTCCAGAGTTTATCAAGACATTTTGCAGGAAAACGTACGACCATCTGTCCGCCAACTGAAGCTCCGCAGAGGATGGGCGATGCAACAGGACAATGACCCAAAGCATACAAGTAATTCAACAAAAACAATGGCTGCAACAGCACAGAAAACGCCTTCTGGAGTGGCCCAGTCAGAGTCCTGACCTCAACCCGATTGAAATGCTGTGGCATGACCTTAAGAGAGCGATTCACACCGACATCCCAAGAATATTGCTACACTGAAACAGTTTTGTGAAGAGGAGTGGTCCAAAATGACTCCAGATCGTTGTGCAGGTCTGATCTGCAACTACAGGAAATGTTTGGTTGAGGTTATTGCTGCCAAAGGAGGGTCAACCAGTTATTAAGTCCAAAGGTTCACATACTTTTTCCTCCCTGCACTGTGAATGTTTACATGTTATGTGCAAATAAACCATGGCAACATCTCATGTTTGTGTAGTATTATGTTCAGCAGACTGTGTTCTTCTATTGTTGTGACTTAGATGACGTTCAGAGCACATTTTTATGCCCAATTCATGCAAAAATCCACGTAATCCCAAGGGGTTCACATACTTTTTCTTGCAACTGTAGTGCTGCGGTGGTAAGTCATTTGCACTCGAGCGTGTTCTGACAGGTTCTGACTCGCACTCTCCTGGGTCGCAGACCAGAGGACTCGGTCATTACGGAGTAGTAGAAGAAATAACGTGTATGTTGTAGTGGTGCGCCAAAATGAAACTTCTGGTACCGAAAATTCAGAATGCATGTGACAGAAAACCAAACCATTATGTCTGCGTATGTGGGCGTGAGGAGGTTCCGATTTTTTGTATTTTTTGTATTTTTTTATTTTTTTTTTACTTTCGTGTGTGTATATGTATGTATTTTTTATTTTTTATTTATTTTATTGCTATCACATAGGGGACCAATAGTGAGTGCAAGGAGGGGGCAGCAGAGGAGCAGTGTACACAGGGGGGAGCAGTGTACACGGGGGGGGAGCAGTGTACACAGGGGGGAGCAGTGTACACGGGGGGGGGGGGGGGAGCAGTGTACACGGGGAGGGGGGGGGGGGAAGTAGTGTACACGGGGGAGGGAGCAGTGTACACGGGGGAGGGAGCAGTGTACACGGGGGGGGAGCAGTGTACACGGGGGGGGGGGGGGAAGCAGTGTACACAGTGGTTGAGCAGTGTACACAGTGGGAGCAATGTACACGGGGGGGGGGCAGCGTACACAGTGGTTGAGCAGTGTACATAGGGAGGGAGCAGTGTATACAGTGGTTGAGCAGTGTACACGGGGGGGGGGGGGGGGGAAAGCAGTGTATACAGTGGTTGAGCAGTGTACACGGGGGGGGGGGGGAAGGGGAAGCAGTGTATACAGTGGTTGAGCAGTGTACACAGGGAGGGAGCAGTGTATTCTGTGGTTGAGCAGTGTACACAGGGAAGGGAGCAGTGTATACAGTGGTTTAGCAGTGTACACAGGGAAGGGAGCAGTGTATGCTGTGGTTGAGCAGTGTACACGGGGGGGAGCAGTGTATACAGTGGTTTAGCAGTGTACACAGGGAGGGAGCAGTGTATTCTGTGGTTGAGCAGTGCACACAGGGAAGGGAGCAGTGTATACTGTGGTTGAGCAGTGTACACGGGGGGGAGCAGTGTATACTGTGGTTGAGCAGGTACACGGGGGGGGGGGGGGGGGGAGAAGCAGTGTATACTGTGGTTGAGCAGTTAGGGAGGGAGCAGTGTATACTGTGGTTGAGCAGTGTACACGGGAGGGAGCAGTGTATACAGTGGTTGAGCAGTGTACACAGGGAGGGAGCAGTGTATACTGTGGTTGAGCAGTGTACACAGGGAGGGAGCAGTGTATACTGTGGTTGAGCAGTGTACAGGGGGGGGAGCAGTGTATACAGTGGTTGAGCAGTGTACAGGGGGGGGAGCAGTGTATACAGTGGTTGAGCAGTGTACAGGGGGGGGGAGCAGTATATACTGTGGTTGAGCAGTGTCCACAGGGGAGAGCAGTGTATACAGAGAGGCTCCCTCACTGGCTGTCACTATATGTTGGTGCTGATTTTTTAAATGTCATTTCCGGCTTTTTTTTTTTTCTTCGCTATGAGCTGTCACTTTTCCCAGAGCTATAGGAAACTTTTTTTTCTTTTAACTTGGGGAAAGAAACTAAAAGGAAACTTTGTTTCATTTAGCTGGGGGGAAAGTGACAGCTAATTCTGCGAGCTATAGTAGTAAAAAAAAAAGCTGGTAATTACATTTAAAAACTGTCACTGTCATATAGTGACAGCCAATCACTGTATACACTGCTCTTCTCCTGCCTTTCTCCACTATACCCCCCCCCCCCCGCATCTGCAGTACACAGTCTCCTGTATCAGCTACATTTTTCCCATCTGCAAAATGCTGATGGGGCTATTTTCAGCCGATAGGTTTCGGTGGCCGAAATTTCGGTGCTTCCCTAGTACGTTGCGCTGTTGGCGGAAAATGAGTGATAGAGATCTGGAGCATCAAATTTTTGTATGAAAATTGGCAAAAGTGCGAAAGCTCTGCTACAACATGCTTACGGTGAACATTCCATGAAGGAATCAAGTGTTTTTGAATGGCATAGGTGGTTTAAGAAGTGGCGGCACGATGACGCAAGAAGCCAGCAGCCAAAAAACACAAAGGACGGATGCAAATGTGGAGAATGAAAAGGTTACAGGAATCTAAGAAACGACTGGAACTGTGGCCTGACAAGTGGATTTTCCACCACGATAATGCTCCTGCACACAATGCATTAAGTGTTTGAGTTCCTGGCCCTGAAATCCATTCTGAAACTTGACCAACCATTTTGTTCCCCTGCAACTTTTTGCTGTTTCTAAAATAAAAAAATACTTTGAAAGTACACAGATTTGATGACATTCTGCAGAGCTCGCTCCCAGTACAAAGACCGGGTTGTCACTGAGACCCCCGGGTCCCGGTCTAATGATCGGGATCCGGGACTCATGATTCTGGGTCACATGATCGCTGTGATAGCCTCTAATTGGCTATCACAGTGATCAGTCACTGTATA